TGACAAGAATGAACTTACTACCACCGATGCTTTCGATAGCCGAAGGTCCACATAAGTCAATATGCAGAAGTTCAAGAGCTTCAACGATCTTGGTATTGATACGTGTAGGATGGCTCTTTCTGCTTTGCTTGCCCATCTCACACGCTGCACACAGGTGTTCCTTATCAAACTTGAGAAGAGGAAGGCCTCGAACATGATCACCAAGCACCAACTTATTAATGTCTTTGAAGTTCAGGTGCGATAGCCGTCGGTGCCATAACCAGCTTTCATCAGTGTTCGCCTTTGACAGCAGACATATTGCTGGTTTTCCTCGAATTGGGTTGAGATTTAAGGGGTACATCTCTCCCTTGCGTTCAGACTTCAACATAACTCTTTTGGATTGCTTTTCAATAATTTCAGATCCCTCATCATCGAATGAAACTTTCAATCCGGTTCCCACAACCAATTGAGATACACTTATTAGGTTGTGCTGCAATCCTTCCACATAAGCCACTTTTCGAATTGTGAATTCTACGTTGGTTATCATTCCATATCCTTTGAAAGTGCCATAAGAATTGTTTCCATACTTCACACATCCACCATCCTTAAGGGACCGAAACTCCCTCAGCTCTTCCTTCCTTCCTGTCATGTGACGTGAGCAGCCACTGTCTATGTACCATTCGTCATCGAACTGCTCGTCACTTATAACCTGCAAATTTAAGCAGATTTAGGAACCCAAAGTCTCTTGGGCCCTGGTGACTCTTTTACAGAAAAAGGAATAGCAACAGAAAGATCAACCAAATAAGTTCTTTTTATTAGAGTGGTTTAATCTTTTCTTTTGATTGTGTAAACCTTTATTTTATTTTTGTCTTGTTTAAATTGAAGTAGTTCAGATGGTTTTTTGTTACTTGGTTTTGGAATATTCTTTTGACTCCTAGGGTTAGCTGACTTTTTCTTATTATTGATTTTCAGAGTTTGACTCAAGCTTTCCCTTTCCTATAACATCCTTTGCTAAATAAGGCTTTTGTTGACAGTGAGAAGGACCAAAACTAGACTTTCGGTTCCCAGCCTTTAGTGTTGGGACCGAAACTTGAAGTTCGGTTCTGAGATCTGGTGTTGGAACCGAGACTGGATGTTCGGTTCTTAGACCTTGGGTTGGAACTGAGACTGGATGTTCGGTTCTAAGATGAGTTGGGACTGAAACTGGGCTTTTGGTCACGTGAATAGTAAGAGTTTGGACCGAAAGTGGACTGTCGATTGTTCTCTGACTTGTCATTTCCTTTGACATTTGTCTCTTTCTTGGAAGGAACATAGTTAGGGTTTTGGGACTGCCAAAACTGTTTTCGCTCATTTAGATTCTTCATGTATCTCTGATTTCTTTGGCGTTTCTGTTCAGCCAGCTGCTTTTGAGATTTATGAATATTGAAGCTTGATTTCGGCTTCTCCTTTTGAGCTTCGGTTGTCTTGGAAGGAACATGGGATGCCTTCTCTGGTTCTTCTGGTATCGCTTTTGTTCCACTCGAGCTAGGTTTATCGAAACTTGAGGGTTTGTTGATGGGTTCAGCAACGTATCTTCCCCTTACCCTCCACGATGTTCGCTCCGATAAGCCGACGGTTTCGTCTGCATTCTCGATAGGGGCAGACCAGAAGTAATCATCGCACCCTTCAGCATTGTCTGTGTCGACCAAGATTTTCAATTCTGTTGTTTGTCTTTCAGTGACACCTTTAACAACATAAACCTGATTTGGCACTGTTTGGACTTTCTGGTAGACCATTGCTTTCTCTTTGAGTTTCTTTGACTTGTCCTTTGACAAGCGAGCATATTCAACCGAGTTCTCAGATATAAGGGGTTTTTCAGTCTCCGTTTCGCTCTTCTAGAACTCAGAACAGTCAACCACATCTTCCATTGAGATTTCGCTCATCTCACTTTCCTCATCAAATTCCGACGTATTTTCTACATTCATTTTATGTTCTGTCATTAATTTGGCGTTTGACGAGTCAAATGATTGCATTGTTTCTGACTTAATTTTCAACCTATCATTTTCATCCAAGAGATTTTTAAGCATTCATTTATGTTCCTTAGAGTCAATAAAGGTCTCAATTTTGTCCAGTCCGATTTTGTAAGTGATGGAAGTCTCTTCTGAGGACATTATGGATTCACACTCAGCAATGACCTCATCCTCCTTAAATTCAAGGAAGGTTAAGATCATCTTATGAATCTTTTTCCCTATTTCACAATTTAACTGCAACTGAGCAATATTAGTATATAAGCGTTTAGCAATCAAGCAAAAAACATTTCGTTGTTTCAAAAACTTTAAATTGTCTCGTTGCAAATAAATAATCTCATCCCTAGCCCTAGTTAACTCCGTCTCCTTCAGCTCAATCCACATCCGTCTCTCCTCACTCTTCGAAGACACCCTGCTGAGTTGGTCAGTTAGGTTAGAGTTTGCTAAGCGAGTTTGTATGAGACTACCACTTAAGTTAGAAAATTTAAATTTTAGTTGATTTAATTCTTATTCATAATTTGTGACGGGAACTTTAAGAGATTCAAGGATGGATTGTACCTTTTTGATCAACCGATCACAGTCGTTGATCCTCTCACTCACGGTCTTGGCTACAAAACACTTGTCCTCATTCAGGTTCGGCTCCTTATGCTCACCTTTGGTTGGTATTCCAGCAGTCACCATCAAGCACTTCCCAGCCGAACTGTTAACTCCCTCTCTCGCCACATAAGCTCTGCCATGCGTGGGTTTTCTCACTTCCTCATCCTCAGAAATCGGTCGACCAGACTTCAACACCACCGAACTCATCTTCGTCCACATTTCCCTGCACAATCAAGGCATTCATTGAATTATTAGTTGCCTTCTTTTTCTTTATCTCATCCAACTTTCGAATGTAATAAGCCTCATCATCTTCACCGTCTCTTTTCTCAGCCATTTTCCTCAACATGCAATCTTTGGCAAAGTGGTTCTTGCCATGACAATAATTGCAGTCGAATCCAGAGTCTCCTACAAGCTTGTGTTCTTTCTTGTCATCATCCTTTTGAGGGGCGTTCTTCGTTTCTTCTTTCACCTTCTCAGAGCTGTAACTTCCTTGCCAGTTTCGGTTCTTATTGACAGGGAATTTCTTTCGTGCAAACTTCTTTGGATTGGTGACCATCATTGCATATTCTTCGCCAGTAAGGTCACACTCATACATGTCTGAATCCTCTTCTTCTTCTGTTACACTTTTGCCTTTTGAGACAAGGGCCAGAGAGCCCACACCTGACACAACCGTCACTTCTTTTGTTACCGTGCTTTCATGGGATTTTAAGATGCCCGTCAGTTTCGCCAGCGAGTATGATTTAAATTGTTCATGAGCCTTTACAGTTGAGACCACTGTCATCCACTCAGGTCTCAAACCATTCAAAAACGTGACTTTCTGTTCGATCTCCTTCCTTTCAATACCATGCTTCATCATCTTGCTAAGCAAATGATTGTAACGATCAAACGTCTGAAGTAGTGTCTCTTCAGGTTTTTGTGCAAAAGCTCCAAACTCTAAGAGCAATAAGGTTTGTATCGAATGCTCTAGATCCTTGTCGGTTGAATACAGTTCTTTCAGCCTGTCCCATATCTCTTTAGCGGTAGTGCATGAACTGACCAGACGGAAGGTATTTGCTTGTAAGGCAAATCTGATCATCCTCAAAGCTTTGAGATTACACAACAGCTTATCCTTTTCGTCTTGTGGAATCTTCTCTACGTCCACCAAAAGCTGATTATATTCATTTTGAGTCTTCACTCTCCTGTTCATTCCAGAATGAACAAACGGCCCAATCGTGATAGCTTCCCAGATGAGATACCCATTATCTTCAGATCCAACTACGTAATCTTCAAAGTGATGCGCCCACACTTCATAGTCTTGAGTGTAAAGAATGCGAACTCTTGTAATGGATCCAATGCTGTTTGAGATGTTGATGGGATTGGTTTGAGAGTCGTCGTGTGACATGATGAGCTTATTCCTTGGATCTGCTAGAATCAGACTTCAAAATTTGAGATTAGGCTTTTATCAAACACTAGAGTTACCGTCGACAGGAAGAAGACGGCCTTTATATATTTTACAAAAGCGGAAACCCTAAAGAACTCTTCACACATAAGGAATGCATATGAGTAACACAGTCTCCTGCTCTGATACCAATTGTTGGAATAATATTCCTTAAAGATCGATAGATTCAAGCAGAATAATAAAAGATAAAGAATTAAAGAACACAAGAATGGTTTACTGGTGTCGAATGATTAAGCTTTAACACCTCAGAAGAGCTCGATTAAGAACTTCGACTGTAGAGGTGTTTAGGGTTACAATGCAATAATGATAATAAATGACGATCATCTCTAAGGCATACATGCATGCACTATTTATAGCATAACCCTAATCTATAATCACGGAAGGACAGGCCCATTCCGGATATACAAAAATATAGCCCATGACCACTACTAGAAAAATAGCCTTTCACGACGCGCGAACCATGACACGCAGTGATTTATGATACGCAAATGTGAGTGTCCAAAAAATAATGTCATCTCTTCCAAAATTTAAAGGATTTCAGACGCACATTTTTGCGTGCCCTAAAATTAGTGTCTAAACAAAAAAAATAAAAACACGGAGGGCACCTATAGTAAAATGCGTGTCGTCTAAGACCGTCGCTTTATAAATTTTAATAGAACGCGCGCGTTCCATCCGGGGAAAATGAAATCCCAAAAACTTAAAATCCCCGCCTTCCTTTTCTTTCTCCCTCCACTTTAGTTTCCCTATTAGCTAGGGCTTTTTTTCAAGAACTTGCCCCGATCGCCCTCCTCTACTGCTCGTTCTCTCTTCAACCTCCCTTTCTCTCCTTCTCACTTCGACAAACCCTTTCTCTACTTCTCAGTTCTCGACGTCGACAGCTTCTCCCACCTCCGACGTTTCTCTTGGTGCTGGCGCCTCCCACCTCTGACCTCCGTCTAGCCCCGCCCAACCGTCTAACGCTTTCCAGCGACACCCAGCCGATGGAGCCCCTCCTCTCCGGCAATCTCACCTCGCCTGCCCTTGCCAGCAACATTAGGTCCGGTGACCTTAGGGTCACTGCTTCTATTGCTCAAATTTACAAGCCCTATGTCTTATTAAGGTATGTTTTTCTTGATTCTAACTTCTCAATGTTTTCGTTCTTCTATAAGAACCCTAGCTTGCAAAATCTCTTTTTTCTTTCCGGCTTAATTTCTCTCTATTTCATTTATGATCGAAGGAACAAACTTCCGATTTTTGGTGAAACTAACAATCGATGATGTGTGATTAGGTGAAATAATCGACTAGGGTTAACTAGGAACAAAGACACATGGAAACGGGAAAGGGGATGAAAAAGAAACACACAATATGTTTGATTAAGTGAAATCATCAGTTTTGGCAATTTTCTTCCCATCATTGGTACTACCGGAAAGCTTAGTTGGCAGGAGGAGTCACTTCACTTTGGCGGGGTCGTCAAGGTAAACGCGAAGTCCGGTCAAGAATAAAGATCATAACCTGTTAAGATGAGAGTTCCTTCATGGAGGTGCAGTTCTTGATTGATGCTTTCATGATGATACCTCTGGTTTTAGTGCTAGTGCAGATAACACTGTCACAAGGTATGACAAAATGATGCATATACTTTCTTGGATTATTGACTTATCTTTTTCTTGACTAAGTTTCAAGCTACATTCCTTTTACATCTCTCAGGCTTGTTTTTTACCACGAAAGGGAGGATCTTTTGGGACGCCATGATGCCCCTGTTCGCTGTATCGAGTACTCTTATGCAACAGGTTAGTGTCATTCATTTCATCATTTGTTTTCATTTTTTTTAATCTCATCATACATTCATACTTTCATTTCCTTCTATTACATCATTGTGTTTTCAATTCTTTTTCTTGTTGGTGGGTTTTAGGGAAAGTGATTACAGGGAGTTGGGACAAAACTTTGAAGTGTTGGGACCCACGTGGTGGAGGTTCACAGGAGCGTGCAATGGAGTTTTTTGATGCAATGGCACCAATTATTTTCTGTTTGCAGTATTTCTCATAGGTTTTAGTATAATTTATCACATTCAAAATAAGTCTCTTCGATCACAAAAACCAAACTGTGTTCCAAAATCTCTCTTTTCTATTTTCTTCAAAGTTTGGGAGTGCTTGATGAGGAATAATTTTGAATTTTCAATGATCATATGCTGTGTAGTTAGTACTATTTCATATTCATATCTAAAATAATAAACAATATGAACATTTAGCATGTGATGTATCATGTAGGTGACTAGTTTAGTGTAGGATCTTCTTTATGGAGATGTAGAACATTACTATGTGTGATATGATCTGATCATCTGATATTGATATACTAACGATTGCTTGTTACTCGGTTTGCAGAGGTGAAGGGAAGTCAAATCATCTTTTATGCGAGTAAGGTGGCAAAATCAAAGAGCCTGAAATCTTTAGGAGCCACTACACATCTTAATTTTTCAGGTTTTCCTCTCAGTAACAAATCATCTTTTATAATTACTATTTTATATTTCTAATAATAATAATAGGATTAATGTTCTTGATTCTAATTGCAACAGGACTTGTTCCATTGGCTACTTTTGGATGGGTGATTGCATCTCATTTGTCTCTCTATCATGTTATTCTAGTCATTCCTGTATGACAAATTGACAGTTATACCCTTTTCCTCTCCTTTTACTACATTAACCTTCAATTCTTTTACATGATATATATATATATATATATATATATATATATATATATATATACTTTTTTTTTAGTTGGTTCTTTTAGTAGGTTCTGGTCTTGATACACCACCAAGGAAACTGTTCTGATATATTGATGATGATTAGATTCAGAATAGAAAATCACTAAATCCAATAATTTTCTCATGGAGACGAGTTTTTCTTTTCTTTTTGTGGGCTTCCATTTGGGCATTTTATGTCCTAATACTATGTGGCATTTCTCTAAAAGATTACAGTAATCTTGGGGAGATGTTCAAAAGGCTTGTTAAGATGATGTTTTGTAGGTTATGCACTTAGCTCTGTAGAAGGTCGTGTTGCATTGGAGTTTTTTGATGCCATTAACAGCACTTTGCAATTCAAGGTAACTTCACCAGAGGCAGCTCTGGTTTTTCTTCAAGCATGGAAGTAAGTTCAGAAATTACCCATCTATAATTTCAAGTTGCAATGGCTCCATGCCATGTTTTTATTTATTTCTTTATTTTTAGTTGATTGACCAGTTACTCTCATGTCATTTACAATCATAGAGCTGCTGGGACCCCAAATGTGAAGGTAGCTGCAGTTGGAACTGGTACATCAACCATATTTCATGAAGCTACACCTTCATCTGAGCAGTTTATTGAAGTTGCCTTTACTTACAGGTGATTTTTTGTTCTGTATGTTCAGAGATGTTCTTACAGGTGATTTTTTTTCTGTATGTCCTCACTCTAAAGAACAAATACATGCAAGTTTCCTTTTTTTTTTCTTTATCCTTTTTTTTCCTGAGATTTAACAAACATTACATACATGCAAGCTTTTATGTAGCTCTTATTAGCGGACTAACATTAGGCCTCATAAACCCTAGTCTTGGATGCCTTGCTCACAAATATCATGTAGCAAACCACTTCCTTCAGATCTTAAAGGAGAAACCTTCTGTTTTTAGTATAATAATATGAAAAATGTTTTTGATTATGTTGTGTTTACTCTTGAGAAGGATTAATGTGATTGATTAGTTGACATTTATATTTATTTATTTTCTTGTATTAGGTACAAAGTACGATTTGGATTATAAATCTCCTAATAGATCAGGACAAAACTTCAAGTCAGGAGAAGATATGGTTGAGATGTTGAAGAAGGTTAGCACCATGTTCTGAAAAATAAGTCATAAAATTGTCTTGAGGTTTATTTAATGGTGGTTGATGGTTTTGTTTTCTTGATGGAGTTTAGCAATGGAAAGATAGTTCAATAGCAAATTCAGTACTTTCTTGTGTATAAGTTTTATTAGAAGACAAACATATTTTTGAACCCTTTGAGATTTATCCATTTGTCTACTATTGGAATGATTATTTGTATGACATTAACTTTTGTGCAATGTATTGTATTTTTTGTATATGGTATTTTATTTTCTATTAGGAGACATGAAATGCAAATTTAATTTGAAAATTAGTAAATCTATAAATAATTTTTTTTTAAAGTTTAAAATTACGATACGTAAAAATGTGTGTCATCTTCATTTATGACATGGCCTTTCTTGACATCGGCTTTAATAATATGCATTGCGTGTCATAAATGCGCGTCGTCTATAGAGGACGCGCAAAAGCGCGTCGTATCTCGTTATGACATGGCCTTCTTTGACGCGCATTTGCGCGTGGTCTGAGCGTTTTACGACGCGCAATGAGCGTCGTAAAAGGTTGTTTTTCTAGTAGTGGACGTAACACTAAATACCCAACACAATGTACTTTGAATTTACACATTTTTTTTTTCTGTTTTTAAGTAATTCTTTTGATTTTTTCCCAAAAACCTAACTACATTCTCATTAGGTGTAATTTCCATTTTTACAAGTAAAATGTCCTAAATATCAAAGTACTTTGCATTTATACCTATTTTTTCTGTTTATTTATTTTTTTTTCTTTCAGTTTCTCTTAATTTCTTTACCAAAAAACCAAAATACATTGCCGATTACAGCTTTTTTTTTTTTTTTGTTTGTTTTAAAATTTGTTTTGATTTTTTTTCCAGAAACCTAACTACATTGTCATTAGGTGTAATTACATTTGGTAAATTAGTAACATGTTTTATTGACCATGTTAAGGAATGAATGTTTTACAGAACAGAATACCAAGATGTAATGAGCAGTACATAGAATCCTTGAGAAGAAACCCAAAAGATACAATGGTGATGAATGATCTTCTTTATTGGATGGAATGTAACATTTGAATTAACTCAATAAACTATTTATGTTTTGTCCATTTTTTTTTGCATAACTAGCCCCACAACGCGGGATTCTTCTATAGTTAAAATATAAATGAAATAGAAATAACATTTCCCTAAAACACTTCAAACAACATTAAGTTTTGTAAATTTTCTAGTTCTTTTCATGAACAATATAGGAAATTGCAAAAATGGAGGGTAGAAAAGTCTTCTGATTGTTTTGGCAATGCAACTAGCGGTTCAAGTCTAAAAAAAAAAAAAATACGTGAACAAAAAAAATAAATAAATAAGTGAACAAGAAACACTTAGTTACCTTACAAAATTGGTCAAGCGAGATCTTATCAATTGAGTAAAACTGTTAATTGCTTTAAGATCATGGAATTAGGCCTCGCAATATTGGTTTGTGATGCAAGAACAACAAAATAAAGGCTGATGACAATAAAAGAGGTTAAAAGGCCAATAACTCGATACCATTCATGTAAGCTCCATCAGAAATGTCCACATTACACCAAGAAATGTTGTATTCATGCGAAGTTATGCCAATTTTTAGTTCTGGAGACGTTAAAGCTTCAAGACACAAAGGTGTGGGACAAAGCGGAGGCGATGTGGCTTCGTTCTTGTGTTCTAAGGTCTAGAAAAAAAATTAAGTTTCAATTTGAGTATTTTCCCATACAGCATATTCTCGTTTATAGGACGAAGTCGTGAGTGTATAATAAATGGGCTTTCATCATAATAAAATATACTTTGTATCCGAATAACATACTACAAACCTTAAATGTGAAACAAATTTACAAAAAAAAAATTCTTCTAAACAAATATTACATTGATCTTTGCAAAAATTGATCTTCAAAAGTTTTCAAACGTTCGTAAACACTGATCCATAATCATCATGTAAATATTAACTAGTTAGACCATTGTTATGGTATAAAACTTACTTTTAATTTTTAACATCTTGATTTTTGTTAACATTCCGGATAAGCTCAACATCTTGGATTTAGTCGGTATCTTGGGAGCAAGGGCGGAAGTAATTAGTTGGCGGGGTAGCACGTGCTACCCCTCAATTCCACCATAGAAATATTGATTTATATATATATATATATATATATATATATATATATATATATATATATATATATATAATTACCAACCTTATGATATGCTTTTTGATTAACTCAAAGTCAGATTACATTTTCTAATATAAAATAGAAGCCCAATTACTTAGCCCATTAATTTAAATGACAACCCATTAAATAAAAGAAAAACATATAGGTTTTTGTTTTGTGAACACCTAAATTACGAAAGGATACAGAGGATAAAAAATTGATATGTTTTTTTGATTTATATGATCGTCGTTTTAACTGCCGGCTGCTTCCTGCTTCACCATAACTTTTCTTGGCAAAGCTTATTCACCTATTTCGCTATTGGCTCACTTACGGAATATGAAACAAGTAATATTTAATTTTCCATCTTTAATGTTTTATGATTTAATGTTTAATGATTTAGTTTAATTTATTTGTTCAAATTGAAAACCTAATTAGCCAATTAGTTGCTCACTTGTATTATGTTTAAATCTTCAATTGTGAATTTTAAATCTTTAATTATATTTGTAGGGTTTAATTGGAAATTTTTTTAAAAGGACATTGGATGTTGGTAGTAGTGATGAAAGTGGTGGAGGAAAAAGACCTCATCCTCAACCACAACCACAACCACAACCTCAACCTCAACCACAACCACAACCACAACCTCAACCACAACCACAACCACAACCACAACCACAACATATTCCAACTAGTTTTGATATTAATAATCTTCCTTCGGACCCGACAGATAGACCACGAATTACATCATATCATCCAAATCAAATGGATGAAATAAGGAGAGCATATTGGATTAAAGGACCTTCTCAACCAAAAGGCCATGATTTTCCATCAATAAAAATTGGTGGTAAGAACAGACGTTTTGTAAAGGAATGGTTTGATGAATTTAATTGGTTAGAGTATAGCACAAAAGAGAACAAAGCTTATTGTTTATGTTGTTACTTGTTTGGTGATATTGTGGGGCAACAAGGGGGGATAGATGTATTTGTGACAGGAGGCTTTGACACTTGGAGTAAAAAGAAATCATTGAAAGATCATGAAGGTAAAGCTGACAGTCATCACAACAAAGCAAAACAAAAATGTGAAAATCTAGTAAAGAAAAACCAATCTATTAGTGAAGCTTTTCATAAGCAAACTGAAGTTGAAGCAAGTAACTATCAAATTCGATTACGTGCTACAATTGATACTTATAGATTTTTATTGAAGAATGCGTTACCATTTCGTGGTCATGACGAGTCGGATGGGTCAATTTCTAAAGGCCTTTTCATTGAAGAATTATCATTCCTTCGGGACCATAATGAAAAATTTTATAATGTTACTTTAGAAAATGCTCCAAAAAATGAAAAGTTGACGTCTCCAAAGATTCAAAAAGAGTTTGTTCAATGCTTTTCAAAAGAGATAATAAAGTCCATTTGTGAAGAAATTGGTAATGATGTGTTTACTATATTAGTAGACGAGTCTAGTGATGTATCCAAAAAGGAACAAATGGCTATGGTTTTACGATATGTTAGTAGCCTTGGATTAGTGAAAGAAAGATTTGTTGGAATTGTTCACGTGAAGGATACAACTTCTTTAACTCTAAAAGAAGTCATTGATTATGTATTTATCAACAATAACTTGAGTATATCTTAGGTAAGAAATTATAATTTCTTTTTTTAATTTATTTGAATGGTTATCTATTTTATTTTTTATATATAAAGTTTTTTATATAGGTAAGAGGGCAAGGATACGATGGAGCAAGTAATATGCGGGGTGCATTTAATGGTTTGAAAGCATTGATATTGAAAGATAATCCTTCGGCATATTATATACACTGTTTTGCACACCAACTTCAATTAGTGGTTGTGACTGTAGCAAAAAACCACGATGGTGCTGATGATTTCTTTGAGCAATTAGCTTTGGTGGTTAATGTGGTGTGTGCTTCTTGTAAAAGAAAAGATATAATACGAGATAGTTACAAGGAAAGGGTTCAAAAAGAAATTGGTAATGGTGAAATTGAGACCGGAAGAGGGTTAAATCAGGAGACTTCTCTTGTTCGAGCTGGGGAGACAAGATGGAGCTCACATTATAAAACCATAATAAGCTTGAAGAATTTGTTTCCGGAGGTTATCAAGGTTCTTAAATATGTTGAAGAGGAGGGGTCTAGTTTAAATAACCGAAATCAAGCGTATGGTATTTTGTCGTATTTCAAGACTCTTGATTTTGTGTTTTATTTACACTTGATGTTGGAGATTTTTGGTCTCACGAATACCTTGTCAAAACATCTTCAAAGAAAGGATCAAAATATTTGGAAGCGGCTTCTTTGGTAAAAGTGACGATGAAAACGTTCAAAGCTTTTAGAAATAATGGGTTTCCTTCAATGTTGGAGAAGGTATTTTCTTTTTGTCATAAACATCAAATTAAAATTGTGGAAATGTCTGAATTTTATGTTACTCCAAGAAACCGTAGAACCAAGGTTACTAATCAACATCACTTTGAAGTTGATATTTTCAACACGGTTTTGGATATGCAAATTCAAGAATTTGGGGATCGTTTTAGTGAAGTGAGCATCGATTTGCTTGAATACACGGCGGCTTTGAGTCCTTGAATACACGGCGGCTTTGACAAATCAAAGTTGGTGAAGCTAAGTGAGTTGTACAAAACTGATTTTAATGATTCGGAAAGGGTGTATCTTGATGGTCAACTTGAAACCTATTATCACTTTTTGATGATGATGAGAGATTTTCTAATTTGAAGGGAATTCCAGACCTTTCTCGTTTGATGGTGGAAACCGGGAAACATCTTTCTTTTCCTTTGGTTTATCGGTTATTAAAGTTGACTTTGGTTTTGCCCGTCGCAACCGCAACCGT